ATTATGAAAAATGTAATATATTCTACATTTTACTCAAAATTTCATTTTGAAAAAAACAAAAAAAAAAACCGTTTTTTTCTAGGTTTTTTTTCATGTTTTTTTCACATGTGAAAAAAACCGTTTTTTTACATCTCTACTTATAATTCCTTTTTTTCATTGCTTTATTAATAGTTATCCTAATTATAATTGTTTTTACGTAGTGTGGTTCGTTAAAAGTTTTGTTTGTAGTAATTGTATATTGTTATAGCGACAAATAATTTGACTCAAATTTATAACGGTTCCACCCTGGGTTAGATCATGGAGCCTATACAAGAAGTCCGAACATCATGTAAACAAGAATCTTCCTAAGATAAGAGGGCGCTGGTGTTCCGTTTATTCTGAAACAATTGTTTAATTTGTACCGAAACGCTAGCATCGACAATCAGCGCCGCTGGTGGTGAAAAAAAGAAACTTAATTTGTACAACTTAGAGGGCTTGTTTTGTCAATTTTCCTTATTAAGTTCGGGCTCCTTGTGTAGGCTCCATGGGTTAAATACTGGTTTGTGAATAAAAATCTTTCGTTTTTTCAAAGAAAGCTAATGTAGAATTTCATTTTCAACCATTGGCAAAATATCGTTGGTGATATTTTATAAATTAATTTTTTTGTATTTTTTTTATTTAATAATAAAAGTAAAAAAATAAAGGTCGCTAACGATGTTTTGACAAAAGTAATCATCAAATCTATATCCCACAAAGTAACGTAAATGTAACTTAAGCGACAAGACTAATTTTACATTTTTCTAAAGATGTTCTTATAAAATATCGTATGCCACAAAATTTAATGAAAATTTTAGATTGAATTCGATCTTACTTAAATATTTGAATTCAACATTAATAAAATAATGTCTCACCAGTTTTCAGATAAATAAGCTCCCACACAAATAAAATCTCTCCTGTAAAAATTTAGGTTTTGTCGCTTACGATGTTTTTTCAAATAACCATCGATATATATATGAAAAAAAGCACTCTAATATATATAAATATATATATATATATATTTTCACGACTATTTTTATTTTTTAATAATTATGCTTCATTGTTTGAGTTATTTATTTTTCTCTAATCACCCGACTGTACAAAAATCGTAATTAGATGAAATTGTACTGATAAACAATTAAAAATCATCATTTATAAAAAGTTTGGTACGAAAATCTTAAAAATGTCATAGATTGTCAATGTAAACGCTTTATATCTCAACAAATATCAATCTTAGCGATTCAACTGATAAGACCTTTTTTAAATAAAATTAAATTTTCTACAAGTTTGTCCTTTACATTTTTTTAAAGAATCCAGTCACTCCATATCTTCAAAAATATGAGAATTTTTCACTAAAATAAGATTTACGGGTCGTACCATCCTACAGGTGCAGCTATGGCACATAAAGCATTTTTGTAGAACTTTTGATTACTAGTAAATCTCTTTTTGAAACAATCCAATAGCATAAAATGCGGCTAAGATATTTAAAAAACATAATCAAAGTTTACGTGTATTTTAAATGGGAAAACTTTATACGCTTTGGTAGAGTACTTTGAGTTAATATTAAGGGCTCAAATTTACAGGGAATTTTTTTTTGAACATTTTCAACAAGATTTTGAGTTGGGAGCGAAAAAATAAAAATATTGTGGCCCATTTAAGATGGAAACACCCCCGTAACTTTTTTATTTTTTACTCGATTTTAATGAACAAAGGCTCAAAAGATAGAGAATAAAAAACTAAAAGTTATAAATAATATTTTCAATGCCACTTTACAGATGCCTACTATAACATTTTTTCTATGTCAAAATTCGGAAAAAATTATTACTAAATGCGGAATGCTTCAAAATGGTTGCAACCCAAATTTCATCCCATTTAAGAAATTTTTGCCCATATAAAATTGTGCCTTGAAGATAAAATGTTGTATGCCATTTGGCTGAGCATTGTCTTTTTGTGCTTCGCTCAGTTGAAGCCTGATACCTGCATATTTTCTAATATCTGAGAAAATAGGACAGGCGGCAAAACAAAGTAAGTTTATAATTTAGCGAATTGTTGATTTTATAAAAAAAATATTTCAAAAATTTCAAATTCGGTCAGAACATTTTTGTAATTGTAACTTTTTTTTATTCAATGTCAATTTTTTTATTTAACATTGAAGGATCTATTTTTTAACGAGCGAATGGAAAGTTATTATAACACCGAACAACACAAAATTGCCCGCATCGATGAAACTTGAAAAATCGGATAGAAGACGATAAAAAAAAGACTCGTGTATCGGCGATTTTTTTGTACACGTCAAATTTTTTTTTATTTTGTTTTGAAACACAAAATTTAAAGATAATTCGTAGAAAGTTTCCATACTAAATATTAATGTTATTTTTTTTTATTCAAGCTTACAAATGTTCTTAAAGGGCATTTTAAAGAACTCTTACATAATCATAAGGCTGTAAATACTTTATTATTACGTCCATAAAATTTTAATACTCAAAAGTAAAAAAAAAAACAATACTACCATATAAATTGTTTTAACGCTGAATACAATTAAACAAACTGTCTGATATTATTTAGTTTAATAAAAATATTTGATACAACTCAATTATTTTTCAAATTTTGGCCTTTTATTTTTTCTTTTTAGTGAATTTGTTGACCAACAGTATTCACCGAGCAGGTGCACCAAATTTTTACCTTTAAATCTAGTTTCGATTAAAGCTATGTCTTGGTGGAATCTTTCTCCATGTTCATCACTGTAATCACCCATATTATTTTGGAAAAAATCTAGATGATTATGCAAAAAATGAATTTTTAATGACATTAATACTCCCATATTGCCATACGCAGAGATCATTTTTTGCACAATTTCTATATAATTTTCAGCTCGATCGTTACCAAGAAAGTTTTCAAAGACATTAACAGCAGATGTCCAAGCTTCTTTTTCAACTGGGTTTAATTTGTAAATAAAAATTTCGCTTTGAATGAGCTTTTTAACTTGTGGCCCATTTAAAACACTTTAAAAATATTAGAAAAATTTAATTTATCATTATTTCTTATTCTGAAATTAACATACCAGCATCAATTTTTGCTTGTGATAACCTTGGAAATATTGTTTTTAATGATAGAAAGGCATCAGATGATTTGTCCAGGGCTTTAATAAAATTTGACGCAATCCCAAGTTTTATGTGAAGAGGCGGAAGAATTATGTTTTCTGGGCGCACCAATGGTAAATTAACCACACTGTCAAACCTCGGTCTATATTCTGATCGTAATTCCCATACATGATTCGTATAATGCAAATCCCTTTTACGCCCTTCCCAATTACAGAGAAAACATTGGTGTCTTGAAAACCCACCTTTTATGCCGAGTAGCAGACCAACAACTTTTAAATCACAACATAATTTCCAGTTGTATTGATCGTACTTAATAGCTTCCAATATGAGTTTTAAAGTGTCACGATCTTCTTTGACTTCGGTGCCATACGCAATTGGAACAGAGGGATGTTGATTACCAATATGCAGAAGTACGGATTTTAGACTTTGAACTGCTCTGCTTGGTGACTGGCACCCATTTCCTCAAATAAGGCATCGATGTCATTACAATAAACATATTTTTTTGTCCCATCGTCATTTAATGTGAAATATTTGTCCAAATGAATATATTTATCTCGATTACGGATTTCAGTGATTTTAAAGTCTGATGCAACTAAATTCCATTGTTTTAATCGCGACCCTAGGATTTCACAGGTTTCCTTGGACAACTTGCAGTGCCGTATAAGATCATGAAAATCCTTCTGTGTTGCCCAATGTGGATCATTAATTTTACTCATATCACTAGTGGTGGGACTAAATCCTAGTGACTGGACACTTTGAGATAAAACTGTCAATGGTGAAGCATCAGCAGATTGAAATGGGGTGTAAGACACATCATGTTCACACAGCATGGAAAACTGCCGGGATTACAGATTCAACTTCAACGTAGGCGATTTTTTCGCGGTGTTCATATTTATAACCAAAGCTCCTTGTTTCGTTCAGACAAAAGTAACACAATTGCGGAGAATGCTCTGTACGGGGTAACCAAATAGTAGGTATTTGGTATTTACTACCGGGTTGTTTGTCAGTATTTTTACATAATGACCTATAGCAGTACGTGCATACCACTTCGGGAGCGTACCATAAGTACGTACAAAATTTATTGCGATTAGGACACTCCATTTTAATTCTCAACGAACAAAACTATAAAATGTGCAGTTTAATAAAAATCGTACTTTTATATGCGTATCATTTAGATTAACAAACCCACCCTGTATATACAAAAAAACAAAATTGTTTTTACGTTTAAACGTTGTTTTTAACCAAGAATACATAAATGCTCAAAGTAATAGTTATCATACGAATTTTTAAGATTTATTTTTTAATTTTTTATTTAATCTTCTGAATTACCAATTTTACATATTCAAAATTAGGAAAAATGTTATATAATGTATATAACATTTTTCCTAATTTTGAATACCTTTTCAATAATATGGTTCACAGCAAAATTGGTATATTTTTGTTTAAAAACAAAACATATTAAATGCTCGCAATTAAAAACTTTAAAGTGAAAAATTTTTTTTTTTTTGACGTGTACAAAAAAATCGCCGATACACGGGTCTTTTTTTTATCGTCTTTTATCCGATTTTTCAAGTTTCATCGATGCGGGCAATTTTGTGTTGTACGGTGTAATAGGTATAATTTACTAAAATAGTGCTAAAAATCACATTTTTCCGAATAAACAAAAAAATAAAATATCAACATGGTTTTAACATAGAACAAACGAATTGGTTCAATGGACTGTGCTTTGTTTCAGATTTGCTCCGCACCAGGCACTGACCGACAGGCTGTTTCGGTCTTTTGGACCCCCCAGTGCCTGGTGCGTATCACATCTGAAACAAAGCGTAGTGTCGAGGTAAAAAAGCTAATTCTTATATATTATATATATATATAAAAAGTTCTTACTTTGGCAGACGCCGTTGTAGGCGACGGTGAGCGTGGTGGTGCGTCTGCGACAAGCGCGTTTCCTCAGTCTGCAGATGTTGCGGTAGCTGCGGCCATCGGTGCCGCACACGGCGCTCTTGGAGGCGCCGCCCGCCGACCGCACCGCCTTGTTGCTCAGCTCCTTGCACTTCGACGAGCAGACGCACTTCGGCGCTCCTTTGCGTATGACGCACGACTTGTCCAGCCCGCACTCCACGTCCTTGCAAGAGTCTTATAAAGAGAGGTTAGTTTAAAAAAAAATACAAAAATTGAAGATACAATAAAAAAATAACATCACTGATTATTATAATAAAACAATATCTAATAAAATGCAAAATCGTATTGGCACATTTTCGTGCTTTAAATCATTTCTTATTGTGCTACTCTGCCGTGCTAAGACAAGAGGTCGTATCTAGTTTAAGTAAGGTGACCAACTCTCCTGAAAGAAAAACCAGAACTCTAATAAAAAATCTGTATTTTTTATAAAATGTTTACATGTATTTCTATTAACATAATATTATTACAAATTAAGATTTTTTAAAACTATATTTTTGTTGGGAGTGAATTTTTTTATTAGTAGGAGAGAGTGGGTAGACATTGGACAATTTTTAGATTTTTTTGCCTGGGTCTCTTAGAAATGTAATTATTTCAAAGTTTCAGGTAATAGTGTAGACTTTTGAAAACGCAAAGAGATAAATATGTGCACTTTAAACCGTAAGATGGGTTTGCTACGAATTTTTGAAAATTTTCGGTCATCTGTCCAAACACCCCACATACGGGGAGATTCTGGACAACGTACGGGGTGCATTTGGACACTATAAAAATATTATAAATTTAGGATTTTTATTGAAAAAATCAGAGCAAAACTTATTCAATACTAAATTGCGACAAATTAAAATTAAAGTAAATCATGTTATGGAATCGAACTCCGTCAGTGGGGGGGAAGAACCAATACCACGTCCTTAAAATCCACCAAGACTTCATCTTCATGTGTTTCTTTAAATCTGTATGATAGAAACTGCCTTTTAAGGAATTTGACTGTATATCCTTGGTTTAATTTTTGCAATATTCTGCTAACGAAGTGCCGGGACTATGTTTGGACAATAGAAGAAGACTCTAGACAGTGTGTCCAAACTCTCCCTACATGATGTGAAACAAAAAAAATGTTCATAATTTCAAAATATAGCAACGGAATAAAGTAAGGATATAACAAAAGTTCCATGCTTTATACATGCTTTAATATGTAGTAACTTTAAATTATTTATCTACAACGGTCTGGGCAGAAAAGCTTACAAGGGGAAAGTAAAATATTACAGGAAAAAAACTCGAAAATAAACTTTTCCACTTACCTCTTCTACAGCTAAACTCAAACTTATTTCACTACCACTATTTGATACCTTACCAACTTGACGATGTGTAATAGTAGAACCAACCTGAAATTTTTACTGGAACCGCGAAATTCGTCCATTGTCCATTGTCTCCCAGTGTCCAGACTCTACCCACTCTCCCCTACTTCATTTTTTTTAAGCATGTTTGATGAAAATTAGTTTTAACAATTAATAATGATTTTAGGGTTTCAATATGCAATTGTGATTTGTCTTTTGTCCAAAAGTTGTTCATATTAGAAAAAACTTTCTCTACAGGACTATTTGTTCAAGATAAACACAACAATATGGGTAATTCTTTTGCATTTCTGCATTTAAGATGCATTTTCCTCTTTGCAGAGGCATATCATTTAGAGTTTGAAATATACAAAACAATAGATATTACAATATTTAACCACAATAAAACGCGCAGACGTCAGGGACATGCGCAATACTAAAATAGTTCCGAGTTATTAGTTCGTTTGGGGAGAGCCAAGTGCGTGTATTTAGTGGGAGTAGGGCGAGCAAAGTGGAAAATATATATTTTATGTTTATGACTTAATTAGTATTGTAGGTATATGTAGGTACACAGAAAAAAATCTAACATAGTACCAAGAACAGCGCTGTCATTGAATGCATTAAAATTGAAGCAATCTAAATTGTTATTGGCTCAATTAATTACTATTAAACCAAAATAGGGAAATATTTTGCCTAAATGTCAAAGAATTTATTGCGTTAAATGTATACATAGTATACATACAATAGTAACGTTATTAAATAAATCAAATTAGTATTTAATGCAATAACATTCTACCATTCTAACAAATAAATATTAATATGAGTATCAATAGATTTAGGAGCGATAACTTTTGTTGTTAATTTAAGAACAGCACCAAGTGCTAACTACCTATTGGTATTATAGGAACTGTTATTCAGGAATACGGATTACAATATCCCATTGGTTTAATGGCTCACCCATTCTTGCTATGCTAGCGTTTTTTCTGTGTATGAAAACAGAAAAAAACAGAAAAGCTTTTGAAAAACGGAACTTTTACTTTACTTAATTTACAACCAGAACATGGTTCTCAAAAACAGTATAGTTCTGGTTAAATCAGAACGGTTGGTCACCTTAAGTTTAAGTAAAGTTTAAATATTTCTGAACTTAACTGGATTAGTAGTTTCCCATCATTTTTTAAGCAACCTTTTTGGTCTACTAACGGAGAATTATTGTCTGCTGTAAATATCGATCAGTTTGATATCATAGATATTACGGTAAAAGAATATTTGATAATTTTGATAGATACAACATTTGGACTAATATACACATTTATTGTCAGAGATACGACTTTTCGTCGTAGAATGAACCACTCAAGACGTTTTGACTTAAAAAATTTGATTCGATTGTATAAATTAGTACACATTAGATTAATCAAAGTAGGAAAATAATTTATTTCTAATTCTAATACATATATGTGTATTTTTTGGTTAACTGAAAAATGAAAATCAACCTCTATAATTATTTATTTTGGTACCTAAACAAAACTTTAATCTAGGTCGGATTCTTCTGCAACAGTTTCTGGCAATTCCTCCCAAAACTTTAGCCTACTTTTCAATACAGACATTCCTTGTAAATTTTTAAGTAATTTTTTTTTCGAACTACACATATCCCTTTTGCAAAAGATCTGATTTCTGGCTGAGTAATACCTACTTTTAAATATTTTGCCGTCAAAATGCATAATTCAACAAGCTCTTCATCATATTTTGTTTTGTAAAATAATTTTTTCGAATCTCTAATAAAATTTACTTCACAAAAGTTTGATAAGTAGGGTTTAGGTATTGTTTTATTCAGTTGAAATCTGGATAAACTGTCCTTTACGTCCAAAAAGTCATTAACATTCGTCTCAATACAGGTTGTTTTCCACTATTTGACGTTTGAACACAGTTTTTGTAGTCCTCAAAATCTATAACTTTGCCTTTTTGTTTGAATGCCTTTTCCACTTGATAATGAAATGAGTCTGCACTCATAAATGTATAACCCGTTTGTAGATATTTGATTTTTATGCAACTGGTATAGATCAGATAGGGTATTTTGGACTATGTAAATTTAAAATTCATAATGCATATACCAAGAGGAAAAGTCCTAACTGTCAGATAGAACAATTTGACTTAGTAGAGATCAGATAGGATATTTTGATTTAGTAATTGGATAATATTTGAAAGATATGACAAATATTATAAGTTATTTGACTTATTTAGGCTATATATACGTTCATTGATAGGTCTTGGTAAATAGATGCAAAATATGCAAACATCTGGAAATCCAATTTTTTGTTACGACCCCTTGTCTTAACACGGCAGTACTATTAAATGATATACATAAACATTTTTACCTCTGCAAGGCGAGCACGGTACACCTCCACCTAAGACCCTCCAGAAGAACAATGTTCCAGAATCAAGTTCATCTGCAGACCAGGCGGTAGTCAAAGATCTGCTGGAGCTGGCCGCTTGACAGCACTCTTCCTTGGTACTCTTCTCGCGCAAAAGTTCCTTGCAACGACCATTACTGGTGCGAATCATCGCTGACCAACAGGTACCAGCTGAAAAAAGTTTTTTGTGTAGTTATGGTTAAAATTTTTGCAGAAAAAAAGAGTCTTTTGTCCAAGCAATATTTTGACTGCATTATGAAAAAGATATAAAGACAATTGGATATTTTTATATATTATATTCTAGGGTAATTCGTTGCTTTTAAAGTTTCAGTCCTTAATCTTACTCCTAAGTAGGTACTTAAAGTTTTCCCATTGAAACAACATAGGAAATTAAGGATATCTTTTTAATTTCCTATATCCCGGTGGTATTTTACGCTATTACGTGATTTGTACATAATTAGATGCTCTTTAAAAGTACTTGCAAAAATTTTTATACAATCTATATTTTCGAACTGTATAGGTCAACAAAGCCATATTTTTTATTCATTTTTTGCCTTTTACGGCAAAACGGTTAGAGTTATAGCATTGACTAAGGTTATAGCCCATAACTTATAGGTAAAAAGAAAAAAGATTTTTCCTATAAAAAAATGTGTGCATCATTGTTTTAAAATTTCCGGACAAATTAAGCCGGCCGAAAAAAACGAACAAATTGGGAAGCTTTCTTTTGAATTTTTTATACAGTGTAACCCATTTGTTTGCGACTCACCCCTGTAAAATTGAAAAATTTGCAGAAAAATTGATCTTTGCATTTTTTCCGTATTATGCGTAGGTAATACCGGTCACGACTAATGCAAAATTCTGAAAATTCGGAAAATAAGAAAAATTTTCCCATTTGTACTACGGATAATTTACAGTGTGACCCATTTGTTTGCGACTCACCCCTGTAAAATCTTTATTTATTGTGCGATTTTAACCGGATTTGTTTTAAAGTGATCTTGATAAACTGTATTTTTGGTGCAAAAACGCCTTATTTGTACAAAATACAACGGCTACTATGTCAGTTTTTAAGAGTAAATTTTTTAAGAATTAATATTAGCGATTAAAAAAAAATCTAAGCACGGCACTGGATTCACCACCCCTTAAAACGACCCTTTATAAATTTTATTGAAAAATTTTAAGTAGAAAAATGCACAACAAATACCACAAAAATTTATTCTGTCAAGTTATCCAAGAAAAAAACATTGAATTTAAATTAAACTTATAGTAATAGTACCATGTTACTGTTAGTTTAATTTTATTTCAATGTTTTTTAAGTATAACTTTACAGAATAAATTTTTGTATTAATTATTGTGCATTTTTCTACTAAAATTGTATATTATCCGTAGTACAAATGGGAACATTTTTCTTATTTTCCGAATTTTCAGAAAAATTGATTTAAAAAAATTGTTTTTTTAGCCTTATAAGTTAAAACTAATGTTTGCAGAAAAATTGAATTTGTGACGGGTATTACCTACGGATAGTATGAAAAAAATGCAAACATAAATCATTTTCTGAAAATTTTTCAATTTTCCCTTTAAAATGCTTGAGATGTTTTAGAGGCTACGGGTATTATGGATACTACAGATATATCTATACAACATATTTAGGAGATACAGTGAAGTGGGTTAAAGTTACGAAATACATCAGGAAGTGTTGTAGTAGTACTACAAGTAGATAATTATATTGTACCAAATTTCTTTATATTTGTTGATTTCAGAATGGTGTGATATTTAAGTTTTGTGTTCATTTATGTAGATATTTGTTTATTATTTTGTTTAGGAAATTGATTAATAATAAGTTCCCAATTTCCAACAAATACTTTTGTTACTGGGTCCACAAAAAGGTTTGTAAGAATAAGGACTTTTTGCAAATTAGAAGAATTATGGTTGAATTATTGACATGGAATTTTGTTATTAAATCTACAAAATGTATGTTATACTTATTCAATTAGTTAATAGATTACAGTTGGTTGTAAACTTAACATAAACTTATGTGGACCTGGAATAACATAAAATCTGATTAATGTATGTTAATTTACAAATATTTTTTTACTGTTTAGGTAGATACTTTTAATTAGTTAATCAATATTTGACACTAAAAGTTATTAAATGCTCTATATTTTTTAAACTATAGGTACATTTTATTCCATTATTGAAAAGACCTTTTTTATAGAAATCGAATTTATTTTTACCTGTAACTTTAACCGTTTTGCCGTTCATATGTATGAATTGTAGTAAAATTGATGCAAGTATAGTATAGTATACTAGAAAAGAGTATCTAATTATAAAAAGTATAGTATACTACAAAAGAGTATCTAATTATAAAAAGCTTAAGAGCATCTGGGCGATTCCATAATTACTGACGGGACAAGAATAAAAAACCAAAATGTTTTATGAAAAAAAGATGTGTTGTTCCTATAATAATAATTTTATGCCAGTCCCAGCAATGAAATTAAGTAATAATAACTATTATAAAATTTGCAAAAATGGCGAATGCGCCAGGATAATTGTTTCAGCTTTAGATGTAGAACTACATAACTTTATGAACTCGAAATTTCGAACATTACAAATTGGTCGTCCTTGTGTGATTCTAAAAAAGATACAATAATGATAATTTTTGCTTTTGCTGTCAAAATGACACAATAGTGATAACCGTAAATAAGGCAGTTGAGATTTTGATGTCAACGGATAAGTCGTTCGAAATTTCGTGTTCCCCATTTTTATAATTTGTTTTTTTAATAATCGTCCACAAAAATTATGTTTTAATTTCTTTTTTTATGTTGTGATAACCCGTCCCAGAATATTTTTGTTGTTTCCCTTACTTTTAAGATAAGTTTTTTTAATTTTATAATTTTAATAATAATAATAATAATAAACTTTATTGGAAGTCCAAATGGCTAACGACTTTCGTCTTCCTTCCCTTATAATTTTATTTATTTATTACTTTTCTTAATTTTAATTATTAGTTTTATATATTTTTGTATTGGTTTTAGTTTTAAGTTTAAATGCATAATTTATTTGAGAACCGATGATTTTTTTTACAATTTTTAAATGCCATTTTAATAGTATAATAATTACGCAACTTTTGTCTAATTTAACCGACCTTATAGCTCCTCAAACAAAAAATATAAAAGGATACTTGGTGCATCCTGTATGGGGTTTTTAATGTCTACAAAATAATTTTTAAATCGTCTTTATACTTTTGATTGTGTAAACTTGGCATCGCCGTTGTTGTATCGTGGCCGCAGATCAACAATGTGTAACATTTCAGTTACAGGCAACAGGTGTTCGTGGATAATTGCACCTTTACGTACAATTTCGCTGCTGCCTGCCTGCTTCTGCCTTTTTCTATCCTTTATAATCTCGCAACAAAAATCTTCTTCGACGGATCTCAAAGACCATTACACTCAATCAACATACTGCATCACAGACAATATCTATACAAGTATTATATATATTAGAATGCCTCATTTTGGAAGAGGCGAAGGCAAAAGCAAATTTAATTTTGCACCCACATTTGTATTTTTATCTCCTGATATTTTTTTAAATTTAATAAATGACTTTTATTAATATATGCCAATAATACGCTATAAAAAAAGTTATATAAAATATTTTATTTACTTTTCATGGAATTTCCCATAGGTAATATATCTAGTAATACAAGGTAATTTGACTGTGTCCACGTGCATTTAAAATCCTTGTTAAGGTATCTATGATGTCTATTAAATCGCAGGTGCGATTCTCAAGGACGGTGTTTACTTGCATTTTTCTTAAAATAAAATGGTTATCAGGCAAATATTTACCTTACAATGTTGTAAAATAACCATAATTATTAAGTCATTTTTGCATAACTTAATTCATGTAATAATAAAGTGTTTTTAATTATTTTTTAAATATATTAATAACTACACTCACAGGCAAAATAATCGATCAACACAAATTTTCGATGAATTTCAATCTCAAATAACTTTTTTATTTCATGTCGGATTTAGACGAATATTAAAGAATATTGTAGATAAATTAATGGAGAATCGCTCACATTTTAAAAAATTACTACAAAAATAGTCGTACGTAAATAATATACAGGTTTAAACAAAAAGAAGTTTTTCACCATAAGTTAAAGACACTCTGCAGAGTGGCAAAACCGTATGTTGTTTTAAATTAAATTTTATTTATCAAGTCACATCTATTCTTAACAGTCTTATTTTTGGTTCATCTCGATATATTTATTTTTGTGGAAAATATGGATTGTTTAAGAAAACATTGCAAATTTCAATATTTTTTCTGTACGAAGAACTAAGGTTGCTATGGTTCATCCATAGCCTATGGAGGATGACAGTTTTGTTGAATCATCCCACACTTGGACCTGTCATATACGGCTTTTAAAAGCTAACAAATTGTTTTTTGTAAATTAATGTTTTACTTTTAAGGTGTCTTCTTACTTACTTAAAAATGGATATGTCTCCGGATACTAAGTTTTGTTTAGTATAAAGTATATCCCGTATGGTCTAGTGATAAGGATACCTAGCTCTTAATATGACAATTATAAGTTGAACTTTAGCTAAGATTATGAAACCCTTACATTTTTTAAAAATACTAAAAAAGCATTTTTGTAGATCAGTTAATTTCCAACAAGAATATGTACTTACTCATTTCAAAATCCCAACTATTTTGCGAGTTATCAAATTAAAAAAAAAAATTTCAACACTTTGAGGTAAGATAGATACCCTTTAAAAGGGTTTGCGAAAAAAAATAGTATAAGTTTTCTTATTTTTATTTTTTTTTATCCTGGTGCGGCTTTATTCCTTTGTATTAAAAGGCCGAAAACTTGCCCACTGAGTTACCCCAGAGGTTTAAATGGTTATAATAAAAATTTTTACTTAACATAAAAAACTAAAATTAAATATTCTCATGTAACCATCATCTGCTAATATTCCGTAAAAACCCGATTATCTCAATGAAGTGTACGATCAAGAAAAAAAAAGGAAAAAACCATTACAATAATTGTCTAATTACGCGATATAAAAAATGCAGGAACGGATGTCTGGTCAATCAATGGCACAAACGATTATTGACACAGGCACATCACAAATGAAGTATGCAGTCCCATAAAAGACCAAAACCGATAAACA